GGGGGGGGGGGGGGGTTATGGCAAGGTCTGTCATTTGAAGAAATCCTTATATGGCTTGAAGCAGAGTCCCCGGGCTTGATTTGGTAAATTTAGTGAAGCAGTTCAAGAATTTGGGCTAAAAAAAAGCAAATGTGATCATTCTATCTTCTACAAGTAATCAACAGCCGGATCTATTCTCCTTGTTGTATATGTGGTTATCATAGGGAGTGATTATGCAGGAATCTCTTCTCTCAAGTCTTTCTTGCATACTAAGTTTCATACAAAAGACTTTGGACAACTGAAATATTTCTTAGGAGTAGAAATAACTAGAAGCAGGAAGGGAATTTTTTTATCTCAGAAAAGTATATTCTTGACTTACTAGCAGAAACTGGTAAGTTGGCTGCCAAGCTTTGCAGTACTCCAATGGTTCTTCATTTGCATCTTATAAAAGATGATGGCGATCCATTTAATGATCCGATAGATACAGGAGGTTAGTTAGGAGATTAAACTATCTCACTGTGACTCGTCCAGATATTGCTTTTGCAGTGAGTATGGTTAACCAGTTCATGTCCGCGCCCACAGTTAAACATTGGGAGGCTTTAGACCAGATCCTATGTTACTTAAAAGAAGCTCCTAGACTTGGCATATTATACAGTAATCACGGTCATTCTCCCATTGATTGTTTTGCAGATATAGATTGGGCTGGATCCAAGATTGATAGAAGATCTACTACTGGTTACTGTGTATTTGTTGGTGGAAACTTGGTATCATGGAGAAGTAACAAACAAAGAGTATAGATCTATGGCACAATCCACATGTGAGATAATGTGAATACATCACCTTTTAACTGAAATTGGGTTGAAGCATCCTACTCCATCAAAACTCTAGTGTGCTAATCAAGCTGCACTCCATATTGCCTCAAATCCAATGTATCATGAAAGAACCAAACATATTGAAGTTGACTGTCATTTTATTCGTGAGAAGATTCAGGAGAACTTGATTTCCACTGGCTACGTGAAGACAGGAGAGCAGCTAGCCGATTTGTTCACTAAAGCATTGAATGGCACTCGAGTTGATTACCTTTGTAACAAGTTGGGCATGATCAATATATATACTCCAGCTTGAGAGGGAGTATTACAGAATGAACCTAGACACTTTACACAATGAACATAGACTGGTTTTTAGTAGTGTACATAACCCATATATATATAGCAGATTTGTAGGAATCTCTTTTATTTCTTTCCTTAGTTAGCACCTGATGTACATGTATATATATGTATCACTACATGGAATAATATACCAATTTGATTCTTTCATACCTTGTTAATTACAATTTTTAAGCCAAAAGCCATAAGTTACGAATTTTAGCTTTTGACTTTTGGCTTATTTTTGTCATTTTAGCTTAAAAACAAGTGTTTAAAAGCACTTTTTTACTTTATCCAAACACTACAAAATGGCTTAAAAGCCATTTTGGCTTAAAAGCACTTAAAATAAGCCAATCCAAACGGGCTCATAGTCTACAAGAAGTACAATTATCAACAGTTAAAATCATGAACTTATGACAGAATTTCTGATAAGAACAGATCCATTCTAAAACAACAGAAAGAGAAACAGAATGGGATAATCTTTGAAACTAAGTCGGTTTCCTTTATTCTAGTAGGTTACGCTCTTTGACGTTCACCACATTATGCCATTTTCTGTCTTAAAGCATAGTCAAATTCAACATCTGCTGAACCTTACACAGTTGGTTCTGTCAAATGATACAGTATAAAAGAAGGAACTTTCAATTAATGTTCAGTCAGCTACAAACATTTTCCTGAAGTTAGTAATTTTGTAACATGACAAGATAGGTAACGAATTAAAGAGAATCTTCAATTTGCAACTAACTATTGATGAGTTCAGATAAAATTAACATAGAATTTATCTTTCAGAGGAAGGCATATGATGATAGGCTATAATTGCGTATTTTAGTCGCTTATTACATTCAAATTTACTGCACTTTAATTGAGTTTGAGCTTTAATCGCTAGTGTCTTGCACTAATTATGTGTTTTATGCCTTGTAGGATTGATTCCGAGCTATGTAGATGTTATGGAATGAATTCAAGTGATTTGGAGCTTTAAAGTCTGAGTAAAAGCCCAAGGAATTAAGCTGGGATCGTATTCAGGGATCAACGGATGATAAAGCAACAAAACGAAGACTCGAGTAGGCATATTACATACTGTCTAGTAAAATGCACATAACTTTTTGCTCAGAACTCCATTTGGGCTCCACAATATATGGTTGGAAAGCTAACTTAAAGGGCTACAACTTTCATGTTTTACGTTTTTTCAAATTCCAAACGGAACAGGGTGAAAAGCGCGGTCGAAACCGCGACCGCGAAGCTGAGGCGGGCTGAGGCAGTATACCTGCCATATACCGTGGTTGACCGCGTTTGACCGCGGCCGCGGCAGTCCAGACGTGAAATATTGTCCTTTTTCGCGTAGGAGAAGTTATAATTGTTTGGGCCCGACCCTACTTGGTATATATAGATGGAAAAACGGTATTTTTAAGGGGGGGACACACTTTTGACATAAAAATTAGACCTAAGGAGGCTAAGGAGACCGAGGATTCGACCTAAGGAGTCAAGAACACAATAGGAGCAAGGCGGGGAATTCTTCAACGAGTTTTTCCTTCCTCTTCCTATTTTTTATTGTTGGTTATGATTTTTAGTATTGTAGTTTTACATACTATTATGAATAGCTAAATTGTTATCTAGGGTTTTGATAGAACCTTTTGTAGGATAAATTCTTGTTATGTTTTTATACAATTGAGCCGTTGGATTTCTCTACTTGTTCAACTACGTGTTTATTGTTGTTGATTGAATGGCCATCGATTGACTATGCCTATTTATTATGTGTTGCTTGTGAAAGGATACATATTTAGGTGATTGTTGAACAACGTCACTCCTAACGTATGTGAGAAATCAATACAGCGGGTTTAAAGGTAGGTTTAGAAATAACAAAGCCTTGACGTGGTCATAATGAGCGGTTAGATAAAGCCAACTAGCGTAGTTCGAGAGAATATGTCTAGTAAATTGTTGTAGTTGCTCGACAGAGAATTACGGCACCTAAAGTGCTCACGATCAGTAGATAATACATTGGCGAAATTGTAGGGAATATAGCTAGAAGGATTCCGACAATTGGGGAAATCATAACTCTAGACCTCTTTAATTTAGTCTCCAACCCTTTGTCTCGTTAGTTGATAATTTTACCGTTTTCTAGTATTTGCTAGTTAATTAGTTAGAAATATAAATCTCAATCTTTATAATTTAGAAAATTGTTCAAACTAGTCTTTTTAGTGATATTAAACAGATATAGCTAAGCCTTAGTTCTCTGTGGGATTCGACTCCGGACTTTTAGACCGGATTATATTTGCAGCAACCGCTTATCCTTTTTAGGACTAGAGTTGGGCGTGATCAGCATACCTTTTGGTAGGAAAGTCCAAGTTGCTATCTTCTCCTCTATCCCAGAAACAATAGGATCCTGCAGCACGAGAGGCAAGAGAAGATTTCACAAAATCAGAACGGGAAATGCAGAAGTTATCAAGTATGAAGCAATGAGTTTGTCTTAAAACAACTGATACCATCTGAAGCCTGTAAGAAGTCATCAGCTATTATTAAAGGGAGCAATCATCAAATTATTAGATTAAAACAACTGTGTCAGGGATGGGGCGGGTATTGCCAAGTGGATCAAAGGCAGTGGATTGTGAATTCCGAACACGCGGATTGAGTACCTGTCGTTCACCATCAGTAGAATATGTGTGAAATACTCTGATACATAAAGGAACCAAATCTTGTTTAGAGATGTTTAAGATACTTTGCAAAATAAAGAAAAATAAAACACACACCCATAAAGCTCAATTCTTGGATATGCCTCTGTGGACAAGGATACTTCAACCAATTCCCCCTTATCTGGTACTGACATCATGGTTTAAGAAATAAACCAGAACGTAAAAAATAAACTACTTGGTATTTGGATACTTAGAAATAGTAGGGGATCAATACCCAATTTGTGGCTTGCAGAGAAATTACAAACTACCAGACACATCAACTGGGAAGAATTACGAATCAAAGACTATTATCACCGGGGATCATCTAAACCCAGCACGATCTCCTACCAGACTAAGTGATGGAAAATGTTCATTCAAAGCTTGAAAAGTGAAGATCCAGAAATTCCAAACACTAGCACAATGATAATGCAAGTGAGCATATGGAAATTCGAGCTGTATAATCACATTATTGACAGATATAGCACTAAAGTCGTCAAATTAAATGTATCAAAAGGAAGATACAATATAGTAAGATGGATAAGTGTGAAAACGAACCTTAGCTTTGGGAATGAACATTCCGGAGCTAGTCCTAACCTCACTGGTCTTACTATTTCCAGACTCATTATCTGCCACAGCCGATCTCTTCAGCTCCGATTTTGCCTACCGCAATCCCCAAAGTCAATACAAAATTCAGCTTCGAACACAAAACAGATCAAAACATACTATTAAATAGAAAATGACACTCACGAGAGATATCAAGTGATTGCATTCTTCATCCGTAAGAAATCCTTCATATACAAATGCTCTGCAAGCAATCAACATATTATTTGGCGAAACAGAAACAATTTCATTAAAAAGTTGAAAACATAACACGTTTAATTACGATTTTTTTATTTTAGTCCCTATGTTTCAATTTATGTGAACTTATTTCCTTTTTAGTCCATGCTAAAAAGAATGACCTTTTTCCATATTTGGAAACAATTTACATTTATGCAATGATTTATAGCTACACAAAATATATGTGCTTCATTTTATACCACAAGTTCAAAAATCTTCTTCTTTTCTTGAACTACGTGCTCAGTCAAATCAGTTCACATAAATTGAAACGGAGGGAGTATCATTTTAAATAGGGAATTAACAACTAGTAGAAGCAAAAAAATACCTAGGTTTCCATGAAATTTGCTTGGCTTTGGATGGATTGATGATCGCTGAGCTGGACGATTCGCGCACGAAAGTTATGATGAAGAGGAAGAAGAAACGAGCGAACTGCAAAGAGTTGTTCATGAGTTCAAGCAGTTGAGTTAGGGGAAGTGTTCCAGTTTCGAACGTATCTAATTCTGAATCTAAATCCAGTTGACTTGAAGTAGTAAACTGACAGAAGAGATAGAGATAAGTTCCTATAGGCTGGCTGCTATAGACTGAGCTACAAAATTACAAACCACCGTGTCGGAGAAGTTTTATTGCGTTGTTTCGTAAAGTTATGTACCTTAATTTTCCACAAAACAATATGAGACACAAAATAAAAAGTTTCGCCGTATTGTGTGGGTAATTTGTATTCACTTATCTTTTTCACTATAATTACATCTCTCGCCCTAAGAACGACACTAATTGAACTATCTTTTTCTAGTAATAAAACCAATTCTACCGCCGATTGTTAGTTTTTCTTTTTCACGAAAAATAGGCTAGGTAGGTATAAACCCTTAACCGCAATGAATAAATAATGATCAGACTTAATAAATACTACATGTATACAACATTTTGTTTGACCAAAAAGTTTTAGGTCATTTTTGTTAAACGAATTTAATAAGAAGATAGAGGTCAAATCTTAACCAAAGACAATCACTTCTAGATTAGGAATCACAAACAGATATAAACCACTATAGTTGAGTGTGAAAGGCCAATATAGTCCTACTTGTACTCCACAATATAACGAAAGAAGGCAATTTACATAATATCAAATCGAAAAGAGAAATAGCAACAGAAATAATTCACCCGACTGTGGGCTAGACCGATTTGTATTTTCTTGAGAAGGTTGAATTACAGATAAATACCAAGATTCTAAGCTTTTTTCTCATTTTGGCGATGGATCTGAGGTCATGGACCATCTTTCCTCTCTGAAAGGTGTGTTCTTCTTGGATCTTTGGACTGCCCCCTTTTGTTACTCTCTCTCATAGTATTTATATAAAACACTTTCATTACCCATTGGTCTTTAACCAGTGTACCCCCTCTTTTGTATATCATGTGGAATAATCTTTTAAAATGGCTAACTGTCGAACTAGCCGCACGAGCCTCATGAGTGCTCGACTTCAGCTATAGTTGTGCCGGTGTGTTGCTTCCTAACCGTGACTTCGGCTTGGCCGACCCCAGGCCGTTCTCCCTTAAATAGACTTCTTTTGATCAGATTTTGACCCATACAGTTAGTCCCTCCGCCTATCGAGGTCGTCTTCGGAAGAGCTCGATGGGCGGACCCCGCCGATTTGCGAGTTGAGAAATCTAAGCATCTTGATCGAGGTGCGAACCCTTGATGGCGAGATAATGATGTGACGCTTTAAGATCTGATCCTAACCGTTACGTCAGTTTCGAATGACATTAATCTGTCATGCGTCATTATGGCGCACGTTTCCGATGCGTTACGTTGTTACATGTGCCTCTTCCGTTCTGGAGTTAATGTGGCGGCATTTGGTTTTCCCGCTCGGGATGTTTGTGTTCTTATAAATAGAGAAGAAAATTTCTTATTTGGGTTACTGAGTTTCTTAATCCTTCGAAAAGCTTCAAGTTTTCCCTTCTCCTTCTTCTGATTCTTGTGTTTCCATCTCCCTTCCTATAAAGTTTCCTGCCATTATTACCCTCTTCTCCTCAGCACTCCTCATCTACGCAACCAACAAGGAGATGACTAGTGCATCCTCTAACTTTGATAGAGCCGCCGGCGCCCCTGTGTCGGAAACTGATATACCCTTTCATGAAGAAGGGGTAGTCATGGCGGAAGATGAGAATTTCCCCACTGTGGATGAAATAATTCCACGTTCGGGGAAGACCAGGACTAATTTCAAAAACTTTCCTGACGGTGAGCCTAAACCCGTTGTTTCTGAAATGGATGTTGCGGCGCTCACTGCACTCAAGGCTAAATGGAGGATTCCTGACTACGTCGAACTTATACCTGTGGGCAACGATGTCGTGCAAATACATCTCCTAGGGTATTGCGCGTTTTACGCTTTCCCGTTCGTCATTGGTTACACACTTCCCTTCTTTCTCTGGAGGAGGACTTCTGTCGTTATTATGAGGTGTGCCCGACTTAGCTCTCTCCGTATATATACAAGCTCTTCCTCATGCTTACCAAGTACACGGAACTTGCCGGACGGGGGATTTCTCTCTGTCACTTGCTTTACCTCTCCGTACCCAATTCTCACAGGGGTACTATGATACATCTTCATCACCACGGGGCCAAGGGCTTGGTAGTGAAGATGGATGATAAGACTAATCGCCGCTTTTGGGCGAACTTCTTCTTTGCGAGGACGGAGCACGTGGTGTCAAATCCTAATGGGTTTCCTGAGGAGTGGAATTATGCCCATAAGTTTTTATTTTTTTTCTCAAACGTCTGCTCGTTGTCCCCTTTCGATGATCTGATTGTTCTTCTTTTTCTCTTTTTGTTTGAAGTCGAGAAGGAACCTCCTCCGCTAGTTGCTGATATCCGTGAGTGGGTGAGCTAGGTTTTGCCCCATTCGATGAGGATTCATGAATGGTCGTCGTTCCCCGAGAGATTCGGGCGTAGACCCTCTGCTAGTGAGTCATCTCGTCTTGCCCTTGGTCACTTTACCCTTTGTTTTGTATTTTCCTCCCCCCTATTTCCTCTTTCGTTTAAGCTTCTCTTATTGGTAGGTCGGAGGGTCACGAGGAGGGCGAGGGCTCCCATACCTGCTTTCCGTCAGTCGAGTCTCTCGATTGAACCTGTACCTATTGCGGTTGCAAGTGAGAGCATTCAAGCCGCTACTACTTTAAAGACTACGGCCCCTCCTAGACTCGGCCGTTGGGAAGTTGCTCGTCAGGAGGAAGCTCTGATTCCCGCAGTTCATTTGATAGAAGAATCGTCTCAGGACGATGGCGAAGAAGCTCCATTAAAGAGGCGGAGAATAAGGGCTTATGAGGTACCCGGGATTGAGGGGCCTTTGAGGGGCGATCCCGTGTTGGCAGTGCCTGATCCTGATGGTGATGCTAATTTAGACGAGGAGATCGTATTACCCTTGGGTGTGGAGGTGGTGCCCATTTCTGGCATGGGGGATTCTACCGTGGTAGGGGGCAGAGCTCAAAGGCTGTTGCGATCATTCCGAGTGGTCCATCGACTTCACAACAGGCCCGTGCTCCCTCTTCGGCCAGCGAGACGGAAAAGGGCATGGTTACAGATGACTATGAATCTAGTTCAGATATTGACCCTGAGGACATAAGCATGTTTGAGGCGGGGTTCACTCGAGTTGAGGTGGGAACAACCGGTTCCTCCCGCGTGATCGAGATTTCTTCGGATTGCGATTTGTTAGAGGACACAGTAAGCCTGGTGCCCCAATTTGCCCTTCTTTGTTCCACCACTGAAAGTAGGGCCCTTTAGGAGATCAGCGATGCTGGCCTGTCACGGGGCGTAGCTGGAATGGCTTTGAGGGTGAGTTCTTTATTTCTTTCTTCATTTTACGTCTTCCACTCTTGCTGACTTTTTCTTTCTGTTCTCTTTTCTTTCTTTAGACTTTTATTTTGGAGACTGAGAGTATCCTCCATGAGGAGGGGCGGGCTACCGCTTTTTAGAAAATAGTTTCAAAGTACCGCCGATACCGTGACAAGTGCCGCGAGATGCATGCACGATTTAGGGCGGGCGGCGATTTTCAGTCCCTTAGGGAGGAGTTGGAGCGGAAGGACGAGGACCTGATGCGGTCCATTGGCAGATAGAGCGAACTCGAAGGGCTTCTTAGGGCTAAAGAAGAAGAGCTCGAGGTGGGCAAGGAGGTTGCGGCTGAGTGTGTTGATCTTCAGGCGAAGGTGGTGGCCCTGCGGGCGGAGCTTGAGCAGAGTGCCACCAGAGTCTCCGGTCTAAGTATTGAATGGGCAGAGAAGGTGACCGAGTTGGAACGGAAGGCGACCGAGCTGGAGATGGCTAAGGGAGCCTGAGTAACGGCTTTGGCAAGGGTTGCGGCACTGGAAGATTCTATCCGCATTTTTAGGTCTGAACGAGCAACTGAGATGGAAATGGCCGCTCTAAGGGAGGTGCGACTTGATGAGCGAATTGGTGGGCTTGAGGGAGATGTATTGAGCCTAGGTGATCAAATTGCTGCTCTCAAGGCTGAGAGGGCACGATTGTTGGCTTCGACTCCTTCTCTTGCGTCCACCTCTGTTGACGTTCCTTGCCCTTTGTACGAGATGTGGATCCACGTTAAGGCTTAGCGGGATAAATATAAGGGCTTGTTGGCAGTGGGGAATGTTCCTGAAGCCGCTTTCGAAGAAGTTCTTGTTAAAACGCATGAGGCCCAGCTTGCCTGCGGCTATGACCCCGCAACACCAGAGGCCGGTGGAGACGATGAGGTAGAGGACGGGCTTACCTTTGATAATGAACATTCTGATGGAGAGGGTGACGGTGGAGGTGAAGCCGCTGAACCAAGTGGGGAGAGAGATGACAGCGTGGATGGGGATAATGCTAAGTGAAGCTTTTGTACTTAATTTTTCCTCTTGTACTTAGTTAGTTGGGTGGGGCCTCCTTTTGGCCCTTTGTAAAACGCTATTTTTCCTTTGAATGGAACAGTTTATTTGTCCTTGATTGTACGTCTTTGGCCTTTCCTTCTCTTTTCTTTTTGAATTTCTTGGATCTTCTTGCAATAAGTCCCTGACTTTTGGTAGTTAATTCGAGCGGGGTCGAATGTAGCTTGTTAATTCGAGCGAGGTCGAATTTGACTTGTTAACTAGAGCGAGGTCGAATTTGTCTTGTTAATTTGAGCGAGGTCGAATTTGACTTGTTAATTTGAGCGAAGTCCAATTTGTTTTGCTAATTCGAGCGAGTCGAATTTGACTTGCCAATTAGAGCGAGGTCAAATTTGACTTGTTAGTTCGAGCGAGGTCGAATTTGACTTGCTAGTTCGAGCGAGGTCGAATTTGACTTGCTAGTTCGAACGAGGTCGTATTTGACTTGCTCATTCGAGCGAGGTCGAATTTGACTTGTTAATTCAAGCGAGGTCAAATTGGTCTTGCTAATTCGAGCGAGGTTGAATTTGACTTGCCAATCTGAGCTAGGTTGAATTTGACTTGTTAATTCGAGCGAGGTTGAATTTAACTTGCCAATTCGAGCGAGGTGGAATGTACATTTCCTGTGTTGGTGTGATGTGTAAACTTGGTGGAGTTACGTAAGAATTCCGTATGCTGCTTCGCTTACTCATTTATTGGAGAATACTACATGTTGCTATACGGTCCGTACATATATTCAAAGAGTCCCAGTCTATCTAGTCCCTT